TGTAGTTGGTGTATGCTTAAATAATATAAAAATCTCTCTGATCGACTATTTGTGATCATTGAATATGGTGGTTATAAACATTAATTTTATATTGCTTCCTCGTGTAATTGTGGTTTTTTTTTGCCAATATATGAAATGTATTATGTTCGTAAGTATATTATTTTTCTTTTTTATCTGTTAACATATATACACACACACCCACACATAATTACTAATACGAATTTAAAATAATTAATAACAGTTGTAGGTCTATTTTAAAATAATATCCTTAAGAGGTAACCGGCAAAAAATAAAAATTGTTAATGTTAATATGTCATATGAAATTTCCAGCCATGTAGCTTTCATATTTTTGGCACAACAAAAATAAATATAACCCAGATAGAAATTCTGCTTCCAGTTAAGGCGCCGCCAGCGTTTCAGCCAATGTAAACATTGCAAGGGGTCTATATTCCACCAACTGGATAAGATTATCTCGCTTGTAAGACAAGAAAAATAAGGAATCTTAAAAGTGTTCTAAAAATGTAGTGCCCCACCCCAACATTTTTTCACAGATCCCCTGCATTACAGACTACACAGGACAGTTCTTACATCAGTCGGGTCAATCATCGTATATATTCACAATGAGTTGAAATGTATTACTTACAAAGGCATTTAATTTTTAATGTAGTCTTTTATTTTTTGAATGCACAATCCAATCATTTCTTCTTCTTTCTCTTTCAATCAGTACCTCTTTTGCCCTTCATTCTAGCAGTGACTTATGAATGTTATTTTCATATGAGCAAGATTTAGAATTTAGTTTAAAATTCAAGAAACTAAATAGACACACAACAATTTCAGAAGCAGTTTCATAGTCACATTAGGTATTTATTTCATAAAAGTACAATAAATGTAATTTACTTGTATTTACTCCGGTATAAAATATCAACATACATTAAATGATGTTATAAAATGTAGAATTATTCATCATCAAGTTCAAGGCAAAACTTTATTCATCCAAAAATGGAAGGAAATATTTTTAAAGATATTTTTTAGTTTTCACATTAATATACAAAAAATCTGCAACTTCAAATTTCAGAGTAAAATATATATTCATTAACCAATTGTTAAAATAAATGCCCTCAAAACTTGTAAATAATTTCTTTTATTACTACAGTATTACAATTATAAAATAAACCTGGCCTAAACATTAGTAGCCTGGCTTTCTCCTAAATGTGTCGTGTGGATCTATAATTCTGAATATAGATCAAAATAGTTTCTAAACTACAAATACAGATTTTTCAACACCATTTTTCATGTCATTTTCTATTAATGTGACCTGATGTTAGCACTACCGATAATGAAAAGCAGCAATAATTACATTTTTTTATTAATGTATTTTTATATTTGAAAGGTATATTCAAAGGTCCTATTTGGTTGCTACTTCTTGGCTATTTACTTTTATAATGCTCACATTCAAAAGGTTTTCAGATGCGTTTTTAAGACACTTGATTAAATTATCCAAAATGTGCCCACTCATTCATACAATGTAAAATTCTTTTAAAATTGCTTGAAATAACATGTTTCTGATTAATTCTTTTTCCCCACAATGCTTATGGTGTCACAAACAAACTTCTTTGCAGAATGTTCCACATTCATAAGGTTTCTCTTCTGCAGAGGACCCAGTTTGGAATAAGTCATTTCCGGACGATTTGGTTAAATGAGTAATATTAACATCTAATTTGAGTTTGCTCTGCACAGTGATAACCATCGGAACAGATTTGTGTGGGAGAGTCTTGCTTGTTTGAAGGGGGAGGCCGTCCCCCTGCTCCTGTGGGTATAACACAAACTACCAGTTAAACTAATCTCCTTATTCAAGGTTTCTCACCTATTATGTATCCACAAATGTGTTTTTAAATTTCCCAGTTACAGCACTTTAAATTTCTTTCCACAATATTCACAGGTCTCACTTTCCATGATGCTTCTTCAAATGTGTTTTCAAATTACCACTTTGATTAAATTTCTTTCCGCAATGTTCACATTCATAAGGTTTCTCCCCTGTGTGAATCCTCAAATGAATTTTTAAACTACTTTTTAAAATAAACTTCTTTCCACAATATTCACATCCACAAGGCTTCTTTCCGGCATGGATTCTTAAATGAATTTTCAAATAACTTTTAATCTTAAACTTCCGTCCACAGTGTTCACATTCATAAGGCATCCCTCCTTTATCTACTGTACAAATATGCGATTTCAAATAACTTTTAAACTTAAACTTGTTCCCACATTGTTCACATTTATAAGGCATCCCTCCTTTATCTACTGTACAAATATGCGATTTCAAATAACTTTTAAACTTAAACTTCCGTCCACAGTGTTCACATTCATAAGGCATCCCTCCTTTATCTACTGTACAAATATGCGATTTCAAATAACTTTTAAACTTAAACTTCCGTCCACAGTGTTCACATTCATAAGGCATCCCTCCTTTATCTACTGTACAAATATGCGATTTCAAATAACTTTTAAACTTAAACTTCCGTCCACAGTGTTCACATTCATAAGGCATCCCTCCTTTATCTACTGTACAAATATGCGATTTCAAATAACTTTTAAACTTAAACTTCCGTCCACAGTGTTCACATTCATAAGGCATCCCTCCTTTATCTACTGTACAAATATGCGATTTCAAATAACTTTTAAACTTAAACTTGTTTCCACATTGTTCACATTTATAAGATGTCTTTTTTGAGTGTAGCATTGTATGATTTTCCAACTTACGACTTGTCCTAAACTTCAACCTACACTGTATACATTCGTAATTTCTATGCGTCTTCAAATGTTTTTTCAAACTACTACTTTGCTTAAATTTCTTTCCACAATGTTCACATTCATAAGGTGTTTCCCCCGTGTGAATTCTCAAATGCGTTTTTAATTGAGCAATTAACCTAAACTTCCTTCCACAATGTTCACATACATAAGGCTTCTCCCCGGTGTGAATTCTCAAGTGTATTTTCAAATTATTACTTTGCCTAAACTTCTTTCCACAATGTTCACATTCATAAGATGTCCCCTGTTTGTGTGCTGTCAGATAATTTTTCCAATTAAAACTTTTCTGATCTCTCTTTTTATGCGTCTCCAAATGTTTTTTCAAATTACCACCTTGCTTAAATCTCATTCCACAACGTTCACACACATAAGGTGCTTCCCCGGTGTGAATTCTCAAATGCACTTTTAAAGTACATTTTTTGTAAAACTTCTTTCCGCAATGTTCACATTCATAAACTTTCTTTTCTACGTGTACCTTCACAGCATTTTTCTGAACTCTCTTTCTATGCGTCTTCAAATGTGATTTCAAATGTGATTTCAAATGACCACTTCCCCCAAATTTCTTTCCACACTGTTCACATTCATAAGGTTTTTCACCAGTGTGAATTCTCAAATGTACTTTTAAATTACCATTTTGGTTAAACTTCTTTCCACAATGTTCACATTCATAAACTTTCTCTTCTATGTTTACTGTCATACCATTTTTCTGAACTCTCTCTCTATGCGTCTTCAAATGTGATTTCAAATTACTACCTCCCGTAAATTTCTTTCCACAGTGTTCACATTCATAAGGTTTTTCCCCGGTGTGACCCCTCAAATGTAATTTTAAATTACCATTGTGGTTAAACTTTTTTCCGCAATGTTCACATTCATAAGGCTTCTCTCCCGTGTGTATTCTTAAATGTATCCGGAAATTATTATTTAGAATGAACATTTTTCCACAGTGTTCACATTTATAAGGTGCCTGTCCTGTGTGTGTTTTTGTATGAAGTTTCAAATATGATTTATCCTTAAACATTTTTCCACAGTAATCACATTCATACCGTATCTTTTCTGTATGTATCTTCAGATGCTTTTTCAGATGCTTTTTCAAATTCCGACTTGTCCTAAACTTCAATCCACACTGTTTACATTCATAATTACTATGGACCTTCAAATGTGTTTTCAAATCACAGCTTTGCTTAAATTTCTTTCCACAATGTTCACATTCATAAAATGTCTCATCTATGTGTGCTGTTGCAAAACTTTTCTGAACTCTCTTTCTATGCCTCTCCAAATGTCTTTTAAAATTACAACTTTGCGTAAATTGCTTTCCACACTGTTCACATTCATAAGGTGTCTCCTTGTTGTGAACCCTCAAATGCGTTTTTAAATTACCATTTAACCTAAACTTCTTTCCGCAATGTTCACATTCATAAGGTGTCTCTCTTGTATGTATCTTTAGATGTGCTTTCAAATTACTATTTTGACTAAACCTTTTTCCACACTGCTCACATTCAAAAGGCTTCTCTGCCGTATGTATTCTTAAATGCATTCTGAAATTACTACGGTGAGCAAACTTTTTTCCACAATGTTCACATTCATAAGGCATCTCTTCTTTACCTACTGTACAAGTATGTGATTTCAAATAACTTTTAAACTTAAACTTACTTCCGCATAGTCCACATTTATAAGGTGTCTCTTCTGTGTGTACCCTCATATGATGCTTTAAAGTACGACTTGTCCTAAACTTCAACCCACACTGTTTACATTCATGAGGTGTTTCACCTGTGTGTTCCCTCATATGTGTTTCTAAACTATCCCTTTCACTGAATATTTTTCCACAATGTTCACATAAATAAGGTGTCTCTCCTGTATGTACCACCATATGATTTTCCAAATGTTCTTTGCAGTTAAACTTCTCTCTGCAATGTTTACATTCATAATGTATCTCTCCAGTATGTATCCTAATGTGGCATTTCAAAATCATCTTTTGTCTAAACTTCTTTCCACACTGTTCACATTCGTATGGAGTCTCCTTCGTGTGTACTGTCATGTGCGATTTCATGTTACTTTTCTGATTGAATTTCTTTCCACAATGTTCACATTCATAAAGTTTCTCTTGTTTGTGTACCTCCATATGACTTTTCAAATGTTCTTTGTGATTAAACTTCTTTCCACAATGTTCACATTCAAGTGTTTTCAGAAGCAATACTTTAACTTCATATCGTCTCTCCCCTACATGTGTCTTCAAATGACTTTTTAAGTAATCATTGTCCTTGAATTTCTGTCCACAATGTTCGCATTCATATGGCAAATCATTTTTATGTATCATCAGATGAACTTCCAAATTGCTTTTTTGCTTGAATTCCTCTCCACAATGTTCACATTCATATTCATCTTTCTCTTCCACATGTTTTTTGAAACTGTCATTTTGTTCATGTTGTTTGATTATTCCATTGCAATCATTCACACATTTCTCCCCATTGAAATTTTTTGTGCTTGTATAGTCTGGTTTTGATTGCAGTACTGGCAAAATATCTGTCATCAAACCATGGTCTTCATCTCGACTTTCTTGAGGACTGTGGCAAATACTGTTCTCTCCTTCAAAAAAAAATTGCAAAGAAAAAAAAAAAGATTTGTACAGTTTTATTTTTTTAATTCAAAACAAGATTTGACTTTTGCACTATTATGTTGAAATGCATGACTAGATGAATTTTAAAATAAACCAAAATTCACAAAACTTGACACAAAAATGTATATATATATACGGGAATTTATAATTTTTTTTTTTTTTAATTCAAACTATTATAGAGTTAAAATTGACATTTAACCAAGGAAAATTGCAATGGTTACATTAGTGACAAATCATATACACATCTTGTCCTAGTCAAATTCATAAATTCTTTTATGAAATTTTGAAAACTTATATTTTTAATACTATACAAGCTAATCATGGAGTTAAGTTTAGACTGTGTTTAGTCTTAAAGAAAAACCAGGCTTACGTTAAGCCCGGCTCAATGTTAAGCCTGGCTTAACTTTGCCAGGTGTTTAGAATAGCGAGATTAGCCAGGCACTAGCATTTGCTTATTAATGAACCGTAACCAGGAAACAAGTTCCGAAACATTGTTCTCGAAACGTACGCTCGCTTACTGATTTGTTCACCTGAAGTCAAAGGAAGACCCACGACAGCGATTAAAGCCCGGCTTAGAAAAGTTAGACACGGTGGTACGCCAGGCCTAGTTACTATAGGGACACAGCCCGACTTGAAATAAGCCAGCTAGTTCAGACTGGTGGCGTTCCTGCTTCTGGGGCCCCACGGCGCTTATCTGAATAAATAAATTTAAATTTTATGACAAAATATATAATCTAAAAATTTTAATTACTGTATACACATACATTTTAACGGGTCTACCTTGAAACGGCGCCACCAGCATCTTACAACTTTTCACTGGGGAACTTCCAGCAGCCAAGCCTAACAGCTAGTTGGTAATTACAAATAGAGCACCTCACAGCGGATAGCACCGCTACACATTTGCTTACAGCAGTAGCAAGCAACAGATATATCATTTCCTAATTATTGTACGAGAACATTGAAATAGCTTTTTCAACGTTTTGTTCTTTTTTCGTTTCAAAATGTTTGTGCTCATTGTAGGCCTAATTTAGTTTTAATGGTAACTACGAGAAATGCTAGGCATAATTTCATTTTGATGGTAACTATGTAGAGCGTAATGCTAGGCCTAATTTAGTTTTGATGGTAATTATGTAGAGCAAAATGCTAAGCCCCTGGAAGTGGTAGTTGCCAGGTTCTTGGAAATGTTCCTTTAGTAAAAAAGAGCACTATCTTTTATTGACAGCTATTAATATCATTCAAATTGACTTGCCTTTTTCATCCATAATTTCAGAATTAGGTTCAATATGTTGTGTATCCTTTTCAGTTTGTGACATGGAAACACAATTGACTTCTTCATCCATGGGCCTACAATCTGGAAAAAAACAGAGAGTATACAAAATGTTATATAATCTCTTTGATGGTAAGAAATGTTACCACCTAATTTTCATCAGTTAAGTTAAGAGAATTATCTTTCAGTACGAAATGTTATCAAATCTCCTACAATAAATGCATGTATAAGGACACATTACAGTTTTGTCCATTCATACACGTCTTTCTAACCCAAATGCGTCAAGAGCTTTCCGAATAACTAATTGTCTTTCACTGCATGCTTGTTTCTATGCAAGTGTGCTGTTGCAAGACCTACTACTTATGTATTATAGTACTGTGTAAATATTAGTACCTACACATAAAATATTATTTTATCTGTGATATTACTATTTAACTATGTAACATCAGTAACCCATCTGCCTCAAATAACCTCTTTCATCCCTCATTACAGAATTCTCTTCCATATTTTGCATATTCTTTTCATATTCACACACACAGAAATCTTTAAATTGTTGATCCACGGGCCTATAATCTGTATACTCAATGAATTAATGAATTATGTTAAAGAACCTACAAAAAGGTTTATTTAGTACACAATTTGCAAATTGATAAATCTATAACAATCATCTTTGACCATGCACATCATTACTAAAGTATCTTAAAGATAAACCTATCTTGAGTTCCTTCAACAAGAAGTGGTGATTGCTATACACAATCACTAGGTGCAACATGTGCATAATAGCTGTCTCTTATACACATCTAGATGTGTATAAGAACCAAGGTGTAAAATTTATGTTACAAAACCTTCAATCAGAGTTTGCAAATATTAATATTGAAAGTGACAAATCCTTATAGCAGCCACCACTACCACCATCAACTACTTAAAGCCAGGCACCAGCTGTTTCCTTAGTTCGTCTGCCAACATGATTCTATGGAGAATGCAACGCAACGACATGCGTACAACAGATCCTTTTTACCTGTTCAGAGTGCCACTGACTATCAGCAGAGGGCGCTGTATATAGTGCTCACAGGGAGCAGGGTTGTATTTGTCTGCCGACGTGCCCCTTACAAATTAGCGAAACAGAAATCATAAATTGTTTATTAAAGTCATTGTGTACATTTGTAATTAAAAAAGTGTTCCTTACAACTTAGCTAAACTGTAATTATAAATTGTCATTATAAATTAATGGGAGCAATATACAGTGTATGTGCATAAATAATGTACTGTAAAAATCTTATCAAAACAGCTAACCTCTTTCAAATTTGATCTTAGAATTCAATTGACATACTTGCCAACATTCGAATATCAAAAATAGGGATGCCATTCTTTGGTGCCACACCCCCACCCCAAACAATTTTAAGATGGTAATTATATACCCTAATTCCAGTACAGTTGCTTTAAATAAAAAACAAGAATTACTTAATTTCAACAAATGGTATTGTGCTTGTTTCGCTGTTCTCATAACGTCATTATTAATGGTAATTATGTAGAGCAAAATGCTAAGCCTCTGGAAGTGGTAGTTGCCAGGTTCTTGGAAATGTTCCTTTAGTAAAAAAGAGCACTATCTTTTATTGACAGCTATTAATATCATTCAAATTGACTTGCCTTTTTCATCCATAATTTCAGAATTAGGTTCAATATGTTGTGTATCCTTTTCAGTTTGTGACATGGAAACACAATTGATTTCTTCATCCATGGGCCTACAATCTGGAAAAAAACAGAGAGTATACGAAATGTTATATAATCTCTTTGATGGTAAGAAATGTTACCACCTAATTTTCATCAGTTAAGTTAAGAGAATTATTTTTCAGTACAAGCTTCTTTCCGATCATGTTCATGTATGTGCAAGCATGTTCACTACGGTATAATCTATGTATTATTCAGTGGCTACAACTATATAGACCCTTGGTGGAAGCATTGGACTCCCAGACCAAAGGAACCCATGAGGCCCCTCCTACTAGCACCAAGCAATTACCTACTAAAGAGCCCTGACATTACAAACCAGAAAACGACAACCTAAACTAGCAAATTAAACAATTTAATCCCTGGTTTTATCACACTAACGTCTTTCTGTAAACTCTAATGACATCTTTTCTATCAGATTCAAATTCCTGGCTTAAAAGAGCCCACTATGTATTTATATTGCTTTGCAACATTCATAAGGGAAGGGCAGGCCTGTAAAAAAAATATTTGTGTCTCCGACCATGAAATTTGTCTTGATAAAATGCTTAATGATAAAATTTGTTATTCAGCATCTGATTGCATTACATCACTCAACTAACCTTTTTCAACCTTGATTTCAGAGTTCAGTTTCATGTTTGACATATTCTCTTCATGTTCACACACACAGTAATCTTTAAATCCTTGAATCATTGGCCTACAATCTGTATAAATTAATATAAACCAAGGTGTAGAATTTATGTTACAAAACCTTCAATCAGAGTTTGCAAATATTAATATTGAAAGTGACAAATCCTTATAGCAGCCACCACTACCACCATCAACTACTTAAAGCCAGGCACCAGCTGTGTCCTTAGTTCGTCTGCAAACATGATTCTATGGAGAATGCAACGCAACGACATGCGTACAACAGATCCTTTTTACCTGTTCAGAGTGCCACTGACTATCAGCAGAGGGCGCTGTATATAGTGCTCACAGGGAGCAGGGTTGTATTTGTCTGCCGACGTGTCCCTTACAAATTAGCGAAACAGAAAGTCATTGTGTACATTTGTAATTAAAAAAGTGTTCCTTACGACTTAGCTAAACTAAAATTATAAATTGTTATTATAAATGAATCGGAGCAATGGTGTATGTGCATAAATAATGTACTGTAAAAATCTTATCAAAACAGCTAACCTTTTTCAAATTTGATCTTAGAATTCAATTGCAATACTTGCCAACATTCGAATATCAAAAATAGGGATGCCATTCTTTGGTGCCACACCCCCACCCCAAACAATTTTAAGATGGTAATTATATATCCTAATTCCAGTACAGTTGCTTTAAATAAAAAACAAGAATTAC